TATTGTATAAATATGCAAAAGAATCTCAAGTAGACAAACCTTTTACTGATTAACGAAATACTCTTTGAGATTTAATAAAACACTGAGCTTAAATTGTTACATCGTAAAAACTTCAATATGTTTTCAGTTTGCAACAACATAGGTTGTAAAATATTTCAATTTAATAAGCAATAGAACAAATTATATTATATTTTTAACTATTTCATTCAAGATATTTATCATTCTAGGTCTGTTTATTATTTAATATATTCTGTATGCCAAAATTTGCCGTAAAACCAAAAATCTTACGTTACTGAATAATTTTGTTCCATCCCGACGCAACGCGGGACAAAACCGAGGCTAACACTTTTGATACATTTCTATTTCTTTTAGTTTTGATATAAAATTCATAGTATACCCTTTTATTAATATTTCTTACTTACCATGGTTTCTAGTACTACCTTTTTAATGTTAAAACGGATATTAGTTTATATATTTAAAAGATTCATTTTTTTATGTACTATTTTTATTTAAAAAGAATTATTTTAATAAACTTTTATATTTATTTTCGTAAATAATATTTAAAATTGTGACTTCATATTTAGATTTTTTGATAATCCATAATTTATTTATTTTTTATCTATAGATATAAAGAATTATAAGCGTTTTTATTAAAAAAAGCTTTTTATTATATTCTTTGGAATTATCGTTATAATTAATGAACTATCCAACTTGAATAACAGACAAATCTTCAATTGGAACAAAACCTCAATTTATACATATCTTTGTATGTAATAATAGGTCAGTATATATAAAAATGTTACATTTATTTATTACTTATATAAACATATGAGCGGGAAATCAAAGTAAACCTTTCTATATTATTGTTTGCTTGTGTTTTATTAAAATATTGCTGACATTTTTTTATAGTTAATGGACCTTAATAAATCTTTGCTTGATGTATCATATATTAGTACCATATAAATTATGTTACGATCCAAGGGCATAAATTATTTATATAATTTTGATATGGATATTATGTCTGAAATAAATATTTATTATTATTATTATTATAAATAGTTGTGGATAAAGCTAAAATCGGTAGAACAACTTCCTCTATCAGAATTCATATAATACGTAACTTATGTTCATATTCTAGTAATGTCTCAACAGTTCCTTAATACTCTTTTGGCATTTTAAATTAATAGTATCTCAAATTTAAAGTATATTTTGAATTTGCGTTAAAACTGGAACTAGAATGTGTAGTTTAAATTATTGTTTTAAGTTATATATTTTTAAGTATATAAAACACATTAAACTATGAAAAAGCTGATATGAAAAATTTCATTTTTGTTTTTTAATATTGAAAATTTAATCTATGTATATTCAAATTAATTTACTTTATTGAGTAACCAAAAAATTAATCCTGATTTCTTAAAAACTAACTAAATCACAAATTAGGGTGTTTAAATGTATATAAAGTAAAGAAATAAAACGTCTTCTTTTATAGTTGTCGCAAAAGATATTCTTTTTCCAAAGTCTAGTCCTTAGTTTTCTTAAAGGCAAAAATCTGTTCGTTATAGAATGCTATAGTCTCAGAGTTTTCACTTATAACCACTGCTGGGTCACTTGTAATTTCCTCTAGAATATCCTTACCCTATTTAATATCCATCCATTGGATTGTTTAGACGAAACTCAAATAAATATTATATTTGATATTGCTTTGTACGTACTGATATTTAGTTCTATTGAAGCACGTTGCCGAGTTTTTGCTATTCGACTCTGTGAGATGGTTTCATAGGAAGAGTTTTACACAAATATTTATTTCTGTATTTGTTATTTTTTAAATGCTTGCACTTCAAAAAAAAAAGATGATGTTTCTTATTTTGTAAGCTCATTTTGTAGATTAGATTTTGTACAAAAAATAGTGCATGTATTAATTTATTTTCTTTGGTTCTGATAAAAAAAATCAGTTTAACCTGTCAAAATTTTTATTCAAATGCTTATGAATTGTGTATAGATGTGTTACGTACCTTTGCAACACAGATATTCATCTTATCACCCCTTACAAAGTAGTCAAGGCCGATAATCGCTGAATACGCTTTTTGAAAAGTGGGCGATCGTCGTTAAGTGCTTTGAAGGCCTCTTTAGCCACAGCAAAAGGCACTTTAACATGTATATATAGTACACACCTTTTAAAATGTTTCTTTAAAGTACGTTTACAAGTGCTTTAGTCTTTTTGGATGAACATTGTATGGAGTAATCAAGGTCTGTTTTATAAAATAACTATCTAAAATTGAAGGTTACAATATTTCTTCTTTACGAGTTATTTTTGGTCGACAAATTTACGTCACAGTTTTAAATATCCGAGGTGAAATGAAAATATGACAGAATTTCGAAGTTTTCTATTTTATTTTTAGAATATAAATAATCTTACCAGTATGTATGTACTTATATAAAAGAAATAATATTTATAACATAAAATTTGAATTAACTTTTCGTATGCAAAAAAATTTAAACACACATTTATTTTCATCTGTAAGATTATTTTTTTTATTATTCACGTTGCTTAATTACGCTGTTTAGCTTTATAAGAATGAAATTAAATTATATTATCGTCTAGTAATTGTTAATAGCTTCACTGACTTTTATTGCTTTTGCAATTTAAATATGAAATAAGTATAATTTAATATTTAAATATAAAGAATGAAATATAATCAACTCTATTCAATTTTTATTTTGCAATAAAACAACTGAATGAACCGAATTTGTTTCATATTAATGTGCTCAAAATTATATTTGTTTTTATATTAATAAAATGAACAATAGACTTACAATACGTTTTGTCATCCAAAATACTTCGAGTTGTATAAAATGTATACTTATAGTATCATAATACAGGAATATAAAATAATGGAATCGCTTTCGCTAAAGTTTTAATAATTTAAATTTTATTCATAAAAAATACAAAGTCAGCGTTTAAATAGATCGAGCTTCATCCCTCGCTTACGTTTTGACTTATGTGAGAATTAATACAATCTGGAGGAGGGTTGTGGTTTGTGAAGCGAGTGAAATCTGAGAATATAATATGTATTGATATTATAATATATATAACACATATGTCTTAGGAATTCAAGCTACTATTATCGGTGGAAATATAAGAAAAAAAGGATGTATTTATATATATGGAAAATATGAATAACCTCTTTTTATAACACGAAATTAACCAAAAATTTTTACCTTATATTACTCGTCTATTACCTTGTAAAAGAAACTAGTAATCTTTCAATCTTGAAGTAAAAAATCGACGAATATAAAAAGGATATTTAGTTCATTAGAAATAATAATTCGGATTCCTGCATTCCGATTTCTTTGTCAGAATTTAATTAATATGGTAAATATTCCTCATCGAATACAAAATAATTTTTATATCAAAGTATATTTAATTAAAGAGGTTTAAAAATACTTAATTAAAAATATATAAAATACAATATTATGTATAATAAATTGCAATATATATGCTCTTTAAATAGGTTCCATATACGTATACATACATACATACATACATATATATCGTATTTAATTATTCTGTTTCAATGTTCACACAAAGCGAGAGTGGGAACGGTCTGATGAGCAGATATTCGATTCGGATGCATTCAGTCGACTTGTGACATGACATGGAGCTGAGAGTATTATAATACTAATATATACATACATATATATGTATATATAGATATTATTAAAGCCATCTATCCATTTATTTGTTCCAAATTATCTTCTAAAACTCAATAAAAACTATTTGAAGATTTTTCTATATATTCGCTATGTTTTGACTGATATTTTTATTTTAAAGTATTGCTATCCATACGTGTTGTTTCTGAAACCATATTATTGCATATATTAGATATCTTTCTAACGATATATTTATTATAAACTACTGCTATTCATACGTGCTGCTTGTGAAAGAAAAAATACAAGTTTTTTGTCTTCGAAGTTACAAAAAATTAAAATATTTTAATTGTTGGAATATTTTTTTGTTATAAATGTATAATACAGTATAAGTCTCAGTCTGAGTCTGAGTCTGAGTCTACCCTTCGTTCATAATCCATTAATATTTGACGTAAACGATGATATAGCCTCGTGTTCGTTGAAGCGCGGAGACTTCATTTGTGGGATCCTCTGGCCGTGAAATGAACTGAGGACCGCGGAGTCAGCGGTTTTGATGTACCGGGATTGTTCCGATAGATATGTAGTATATTAAGATTTTAAAGTTATATTAAACTAGTATTTTCAAGAGTAGAGTAAGATAAAAGATTCAAAGACAGTTTATGTTTCTTTTTTTTTCTTCTGTAAACTATAGTCGTTTCATTTTTAGTAATACTTATTATGTTTTCGATGGTATGTATGCATGATTTCTTTCTGATTGATGAGAATTTTTTAAAAATATTGGTAATATAACTTTTTTGTTTGCATGAAATATTATCTAGTATTAAAGAATGTGTATATTTTTTATCTTTAAAATAAATCACTTTGTTTCATATTTCTATATATCACAGATCATTAAATTTCCTTAGTTTTCAAAATGTTTAAAAACGGAGATAATGTTCATTTCTTTATCAAAATTAAATAAGTATATTTTGGCAATTTCCTTTTTAATCATTAGCGAAAGTACTATGAGAAAATTGAGTTACGATATCTTATACAAATTATAGATATTGAGAAATAGATAACAAATAAGACGTTATAATGAGACAGGAAAATCGTTTTAGTTAGTTAAAGCGTTCATTATAACTTATATAACTCATGTACTAGAGAATCCTAATGTCTTTTGTTTTGTCATGAAATAGTATTAAATGTTTTAGTCTCTCCCATATTTGAATATCAACATCAACTGGGTCGATACCAGCTCTATGTATTTTTGGTGTTACTGAAAATATTCTGAAACCTTACTAAGCCACGCCCCGTTACAGTAAAACCAGCCATTGGATGAAATACGTCTAGTTCCGTAAACGTAGCGGCCAATGGCGGTAAGGGCTACGCGCAGCCGTAGACAGCTCGTAGCCCGCGCGGGGTGCTACGCGGGGTGCTACGCGATCGACAGACGCTACGACGGACCTGCTACGCCTAGGAACAGAAATGTAAGTAACATTTATTAATATTAATATATGAAATTACTTTACATTTAACTCTTTTCACACTTTACTAGGCTATGTTACTGAAGTTCTGAACATATAATTACAGTTATTCATTAATTTGTATAGAAAATTGAGTGTTACGTAACATCAGTAAAAGGAGCTCATCTATGTTGGACGATTAAAGAATAAAGTACTATTGAATTATATAAGTTAATATATATGAGAATTCAATATAATAGTCCAATTGAACTCGAATTTAAATGTGTAACCCACCACGCACAGACGTGGCTTTGTGGGTTAGATAGTGCTGTGATTGACATTAATTTTGTTCCAGGTGTTAGTATAGTGATTACATGAAGAGCATCGCGTTACAATGCAGGGGTTGCAAGCTGCGAAGGAGAAGGCTTCTGGTCTGTTCGCCAACAAACCCCTTCTGTTCAAGTAAGTACACCTAAAACCTAGGTACAATACCAACAAAAAATGTCACAATTAAAAAGGGCTACTGAATTTCATTACAAGCAGATCAAGGAGGAATAAAATCGCTAAATGAAAAAAGGCTTAACAATTATTAAAGCTATTTTATATGTAAATAAATTTAGATTTAAATAATATAAACCTAAATAATCAATACGTAATATTTTCAACTATGGTCACTAAAACAATGAATGGGTAAAAAATTATCCATAGAAGTATTTGCGACGGACCTGTGGACTTGATTGCAATGGGAATAGGGAAGCAGAAATTACCTAAATATCCTTTCACGACGAATATAATACTTTAAAAGGAACTAAAGAATACTAAATACAAATTTAGTTAAAAAGAACCGTCGGACTCTTGTCATAAGGCTTAGTTTTGGTTGTAAATATATTGTATTGTCATATATTTCAACAGGATATTAAATTGCCTTTGCCTATTTTTTAACTATTTTCAATATCTTTTGTCTGTTATGTTTTTTTTGTTGACGTCATTTCAATAAAAAAAAAATCCTAATCATCTTCTTAAATTTTATGATACAAACTTAAAGCATATTTATTCAAGTCAACTACTTGACAGTATTTAACAAAAGTAACGTAAGTAGACAAATTCCTTTGTATCAGATTTTTAATGTAATCAGAATTATATGAATTAAACTAAAACATATAACTATCATCAGTTGTGGCCTTGTAGTTAAAGGCCTTCCTCTCGTGCACGAGGGCGCCGGGTTCGATCCTGGCAAGTACCAATGTGATTTTTCCAAGTCATATGTACTTTCTAAGAGTATTTAGACACCACTGACAGTGAAGGAAAACATCGTGAGGAAACCTGGACTTATAGTTTCACAATTATAAGTTTGAAATCACCAACCCGTCTTGAGCGAACGTGGTAATTAATGCTCAAACCTTCTCCATGTGAGAAAGAGGCCATTGCTCATCAGTGGGCTCTGATAGGCTGATGATGAAACTAAAATAAGATATATTTTATCAAATTATATCTATATCTATACAGTTAAAGGGAATGGTTAACCTACAACCTAACCCGAGTTAAACAAATGAAAATGGCCCTAAAAGATACATAAGCAAATATTGGAATATTACTTTTAGATCATACGAGTATATTTAAAAGATCTCATCATCATAAAATATTCTAATAAAGAACTGAACAAATAATCTTGACGTTATAATGAAACGAATCCTATAAAAGCTGAAGGAGCAATATCGATTATGATCGAATAATATCTTCTTTTATAATCGAATGATTAATTTTATTCAATTATTGTTAGATGTTTTTATCTATATTTCTCGCTGTTTTAACTTCAATTCCTTAAAATCTTCACTGCCAATAACTATTTGAATAACATTCACATACTACTATTTTTCTTCCTGTACTTAAAAATACATTTTTTTTTTATTTAAATTATTTCATACTAAAATTGTATTATGATAATCTTCTAAAGAGTTTAGATATGGAAGACAAATTGAAAATATAGGAAAGGACTATCATTTTTTTAATTATATAAAATAGTAATAAATCCTGTTTTTTCTTTTTTTCAAAATAATTTTAATCTCTACAAATTTATATTAAAAAAATGAATAATAAACGATACTAATACTTTTTTGTAATAAGATTTCTTTTTCAAATCATAATATACAAGAGTTCTCGTCTCTAAAATGTATTATTTTATGTGCTAGTGATTCTTTATTTTATACTAACTAGCCATTGTTATTCCTTTGTTAACAGATTCATTGATTTCAATCTTCATGGCAGCAAAATTTTACTAAAGATTTTGCTATCCGTACATAAGAAAATGTTTCTATTATATGTGCATTATTTCCATTTTAAAACTACTTTGACTGACATCACAATTTTTTCAACAAATCCCGCCTTAAAAGATAACAATATCAAATTTCAACTATTTATTAAACGAGTTATGGTGCGTGAGCCATAAGCTGAGTTTTGCATTTGTGTGTATAGTGTAGATGAAATGGCATATTTGTGCTTGGCACTTGCTTTTCTAGGTTTGCACCGGTTTATACTGCTTTTACTCTATCAGGCACCTTTCGCACTTCACCTTTTATCGTCGTCATCAGCCTATCAGCGCCCACTGCTGACCAAAGGCCTCTTTCTCACATGGAGAAGGTTTGAGCATTCATCACCACGCTTGCTCAGGACGGGTTGGTGATTTCAAACTTATAATTGTGAAACTATAAGTCCAGGTTTCCTCACGATGTTTTCCTTTTATACTGGTAGAAATTCTACTAAACATAAATCAGAGTAATTTCAAACTGTATAAATACAATACGTCATAAATGTGAAGAGGAAGCAATTTAGTTGGGCGCTGCAAGTCGATCGTCAACAATATTGACATCGGATAATACATGTTGCTATATGAAGGGAGGAATCACTGACGAATACACTAGGGTTGTACATGATAACAACTTTAAATAATAGTACAAGTATAGAACAAGGTTGTCCATTAGAACGACTTAAATAATAGTAAAGAAATATATATAAAACGATTTATTTATACTATTTTTCACATAATGATTGAGATATGAGTAATGTTAGTACATTTTCTTAGAAATTTACTCGTGTTGAATTTTGAAGCCTCAGTTTGATACTGATTGTTAATAATATTAAAGTGATTATCATAAAAATATCTTATTTATTGGGATGTAGTCTATATAATATTCTACGTAATTTATTAATTATAAGTAGTACACTCTTTATTACATTATACTCGTACGGAGTCACTTAGTAATCACCCAAAACTGTAAAATTTGGAAGATTTGTGTTTTTATATGTGAAGTTATTTTTGATGAGCTATTTTTATGATTGAATTTAGTTCATTCATCAATGTCTGAGTCGTCAAATCTAATAATATCTGTATGCTCAGCAATCGGCGTTTCCGAATGGAGTGTAAGCACTAATCCGATTTTCCCCTGATCGCATCCCTAGAACTGCTTTCTGCTGATAACACACCGACAGATCCGGATTTATCTCTTCATGCGGAATGTTTATTGTTTTATATTTGTTATTTTCAATATTGTTTTGTTATTTTCTATACAATATTGATTCAATGAAAGCTTATAGTTGAAGGTTTCGTCTTGAGAATAATGTTTTTCGGTATGTTGTTGATTAACTTCTCGGTATTATGGTGTGTAAAAAAAATATATAGGGTTGGTTGGAATTTATTTTTGAATAATATAAAGTAATGAGTAAGTAATAGTTCACTTCAAGTTTCGGACGATATATTTTGAATAGAATTTTTTTGTGAAAGATAATAAAAACATGAAATTGTTAAATTTTATATTATTCTGAATTAATCTTAGACCTTTAGATCTTAAACATTTTAAATTTATGTTTGTTGTTCTTTGTTTTAGACGCTTTATTAAACACAAATATAAGTTTAATAATTTATCAATGAATTAATCCGGTTTGATAATTTATTAACGGAACCAATACACACATGTATTGTTTCTTTATTTTCATTTGAGAGCACCGCGTAATTCATATTACATCTTTACTTAGTAGTAACTACGTAGTAGTATATTTACGAAAACAATACAAATTAACTAAAAGAGTAAAATTGGAGTACTTATTTAAAAAAACTTATTCGAATATTAATTTAAACAAAACTAATATCTTAGAATTTACTACGCGTATTTTAATTAAGTCAGTAGTGGCCTAGAAGTTAAAGGGCCCGCCTCTTTTTGTCGAGGGCTCGGGTTCGATCCTGGCAAGTACCAATGTGATTTTTCGGAGTCATATGTACTTTCTTAGAGAATTTAGACAACACTAACAAAACGGTGAAGGAAAACATCGTGAGGAAACCTGGACTTAGAATTTCACAATTGTAAGTTTGAAATCACCAACCCGTCTTGAGCAAGCGTGGTGATTAATGCTCAAACCTTCTCCTTGTGAAAAAGAGGTCTTGCTCAGAAGTGGGCTCTGATAGACTGATGACGACGACGCGTATTTTATTATTTTAAACTACATACTCCCGACGTTTCGGTTACTTTTCAGCAACCGTGACCAGAGACCACCGGCTGCAAATATATATATAAAAATAATAAAATAATAATAAACAAAAAAAAAATGAATACTCGCGAAAGTCATAGATTTCAACAAATATTAATTTGTGATTCCTATTTCACTCCGTTTATTTTTGTAGCTAAATTTGAAAACCCAATTTTAACATTTAATTTCATAAGATTTTTCATATTACACATAAATGATTGTTGCATTCTTTATACGAAGGATATGAAGTTAATTCATTACAAATATCCGATATTAAATAAAGGATTGAAGGATATTTAAATATTTTCATAAAAAATTAATTCCTACAATTCATAAATCTCATATTTCAATATCGACATACATTATCACTCTACTGTTTTAAGCTCGCAAATTGCCAGAGTGAAAGGGTAGCAGTTCATTATGTAGTCCGTTTAAATCACTAAGTCCTTAAAAGACATTAGTAGGCTTTGTATCGTTATCGGAGTACACAAAAGAGATTTCCAACGAACAGACAGGGGTGCTTCCCGTCAATTATGAGACTTAATATCGCACGGTATAAATATAAAGCTGTATCACGGATTATTCTGTGCTTGCAAATTCGTAGATTCATTTAAAGTATTTGAATGCGCTTTTGAGATTCGATAACGTTTCTATTCAGTCGGATTTATTTTGATATGGAACTTAAGTAATTATATTTAGTAGTCATAACTAATGTAATGTTTTATAATGAAATGTATGAAGAGATTTTATATTTTTTCTTATTACGAATTTTTATCAAAGAAAAAATATGAACGTGAATTTTAGTTTTTCTTTCTGTCGTTATGAAAACTCAAATATTTATGTTCCATTCTAAGTAAAATAGTTTATTTTTAATCCAGAATAAAGAAGAATATATTTAACATCTGATTCAAGGAGAGGAATTATGAGTGAAAGTGAAAGAATAA